TAGGGAAAGGCTCCTTGTAGGAGGCTGAGACAAGAAAAGTACAGTGAAGACAAACCATTGCCCCTGCAAAGAAATGGTGCTGATACAAATGAGCTTGGTCAGTAAGGGGTTAACTGACTCTGGACAGAAGCCAGCTCCAGTGCTGTCTTGCAGTTTTGTTTCCTTTCGGGGTAAGTGGATAGAATAAACTCCATACACATACTTCCATGTGTGTCTCAGAACAAATGAATCAGACACTTTTTTAAATGAAAGACATTCAGATAAAGGGTGTGGTGTATCACTATATTTCTTAATATCACAAAATCAAATAACTCATATTTTCAGGTTGCATCATTGTTTGCTTTGTTAATTTTAAAAGGTATCCCACCGCTTTCATGTCCACGTGTGAAAATCTTGTAAGACATGTTCAGAACCAATGACTCCAAATGACCAGACACTAGGTTCTTGTTAATGAGCCAGCCTTCACTGACCAGAAGTCAGCGGCAGGTTATGTCAAAAGAAAGCGGCAGCAGGTCCATTTTGTATTGTATTGGGGCAAGCTGACCTTAAACACAGATCCAGATGTGACATAAAGCCACCTGTGTTCTTCCTGCACTTACTCAAGTTCCTCTTGCAGGATCTGGATGAAGCATTGCCACTCATAGAACTCCATAAGGACTGCTTGTTGGCCATTGGAGAGGTTAGTAGAATCTTATCTCTTTGTTTAAAACTTTTAGAATGATAGTTCTTGCCTTTTGAAGTTAGGGATGCTTGGTCTGTTTTTCCCCCAACGTACAAAGTGTGATAGACCATGATAGGAGCATTCACATGTCATTTGCTGTGAATAAACCTACTAGAAAGCTGAAGTCGGTTGCGGCTTCCCATTTTACTGGCTCAGTTCACACATATCACAAGACTATGGCTTATTTCGCCTGCACAGTTTAGCTTGTACAACCAGGCTCCTGTTCACAGATACTTGCTTGTTTTGACCAATCTTGGTTGCCCCTTCTTTTCCATTCTGAAAAACCCAGCTGCTATCCAGCCAGCTTTGCATAACTGGCGACACTGTGAGGGTGGGGAAGCACAGGAAGCAGCCATTGATTGACACCCACTTAATTTTCTAGGATTTTGGGTTAACCCTTCCCTCTTACTTCATAATAATCTTGTGACCACACATATACACAATCTTGCCCAAACTTTCCAGTCTTCAACAAACCACACATCCCCCCTCTCAAGTATCATCCTACAACAGGCATCCTTGCTCCACATCCTGCTGCTGGAGTTCAACTTAAACTGGAGCAGCAGTGAGGCAGGTCTGGGGAGTGATGCTGTTTCCAGATTCTGTTATTGTAGGCTGAGGTGACAGGAGAAAGACGCATGCCCCCTGCACCTGTGCCACTGCTGCTTGGCTCCAAGGTGGGCTGCAGAAGCACTGCCTTTTGAGTTGGCCCAACTGAGCTGCCCCTGTGATGAAGCATGCCAGTATTCCTGCCCCTTTGAGACAAGCAGGGATCTTTATCCTGTCACTCCACTAAGCAAAGTCTGATGCTTTCCTGTAGCCTAAGGAGCCTCACTCCAGTTTAAGTGGCTCTTCCTTCATAGAACTCTCCACTTCATCTAATGGAAGTCTCCTTAGGACAGAGGGACTATCCACTTCTAGCGAGATGTTGTGAAAAGCAGTTTCAGTTCTGAGGTTATTCCAGGCACTTCTGATGCCCGAGGAGTTGAGAAGCCGGAAGTCAGAATTTAAGCCAGGATTCCCCATTGATACATAACATGAAACCAGTTAATTTTGTTTATTTGTTCCAGCACTTTACCCTGCTGTTTCCCACCCAGCGAGGACCCAAAGCCAGCCAGGAAAGAAAATGATTTCTAGTAACATACTGGAATAAATTGTGGCCTATCCCCCCACCTCCTATTTTTTTGCTGCAGGTTGGTCTGGATTTCACTCCCAGGTTTGCCAGCAATGATGAACAGAAGGAAGAGCAGAGACAAGTCTTGATCAGACAGATTCAGCTAGCAAAGCAACTTCATCTCCCTTTGTAAGATCTGTGTCTATTTCAGAAATTATTCTTGCTTGGCTTTTTAGAAAAGCAGAACACCAAATTCATGAGTGCGTGTTGCAGCAGAAAGGAAAGAAGAGTCCTGTGTTATCTAGGAATGTAAGAAGAACCCTCCTGAGTCAGAGCAGTAGTCCCATCTAGTGCAGCATCCTGTCTCACACAGTGGCCAACCATTTACTCTAGAGGGGCATAGAGGTGGAGGCCTTCCCCTGGTGTTACCTCCTGGGACTGGTATTCAGGTTTACTGCCTCTGAATGTGGAGCTTCCCTGTACTTACCATGGCTAGTAACCATGAAAAAGGACACACATTGTTAACATAAGCTCTCATATGTCAGTTGCATCTGATGAAGTGAGATCCCTGACCACAAAAGCTCATGCAAGAATGAATGTGTTAGTCTTTACAGAATCCTAAGACTTTTCTTTTTTTCTATCCTTTGCTGTTATTAGAGTCCAGTGATCTAAGGAATGTTAGCTGAAATGCAAAGTCCTAATTTTTTAAATAAAATTTGAAGTATTTCCGTACTTTGAAAGAATGTTGTTGGTATACATTCAGGACAATAAGTGACATTTTCCCTTAATATTTGGATGAACTGTTGCAATCTTTACAGGAGCTATAACAAAGATTTCTCTCCTCCTTTCTTTTTGCTGTTATAAGCAACTATGTTAATAGTAAAAATGAAGTTTGTTTATATAAATTTGTCTTGTCCTGAAAACTTTGGGGTGGATAATAGTAGGTTAAAACCTCCACCCTGAATCAAGCTTAAAAGCTTAAGAAATGATAAAACTCCACCCATGCAACTTGTTTACCCAGCTTTAAAAAGCCAGCCCAGGTCTGCCAAAATCTCCTGCTGTTAGTTCTTTGTACTCTTTGTTTACCTAGAAATGTTCACTCCCGCTCAGCTGGAAGGCCAACCATTAACCTCTTAAAGGAGCAAGGTATCATTTGTTTTATTGGATGGTTTACATCAATGTTCCCTCTAAGCTGAGTTAGTGTGAGCTAGCTCACACTAACTCAGCTTAGAGGGAACATTGGTTTACATTGATTTATATTTTTGAAGCTTTCTTGCCAAAATATGTTGGCAGCCAATAACAGCTCTGTGGGGCTCTCAGATTAGGAAAACAGCATTGCTGGGAGGCTTAACCCCTCCCTGCACCGTGGTCCTGCTCCAAAGTTTAACAATCACAAGGACTGCTGAACACAGAACTCCTAGAGTGTGTCTAGTTTGGTACTCAGTTGTAAAGGTTTATGATGTATCTATGCAGAAGATGCTTGTGTGAGTTTCTCTGAGTCTCTTGGACAGGACAGTGATACATTCCCATGGTCTAAGGGTTTTCCAGGTTGCCTGACTCACAGCCACAGGGGTCCTTTGTTATGGAAGTGCATACCAGCAGAGGCTCTCAGCAGTTCATATCACAGAATGCTTTTTCAGCTTGGTTCAAAGCATGACAGTGCTGAGGAAGACAATGTGCCGTTTCCCATGTTTTTGGCTGGGAATATATAAATCAACATGAAGTCACATATTAAACTTGCATGCATTTGCTTGCAGAAAACTACTTAAAGATAATTAATTTGCAGTTGACAAATAAGGAGTGTGTTGCTGAGCATTAAGCCTGAGCAATGTTTTCTGCTAACCAGCATCTTTGCATATTGGGTTGAATCATGGATGGAGCTGGCAGAACAGATTTTTCCCTGCCTTACCCTTCTCCAAGGGTCTTGAGAGTCTTGCAAATAAACACAATGGGATACTGCAGTGGAGGGAGCTCATCATGTAAAGTCACCTCCTTCCTACCCCTGTACTGATACAAGCTGCCTATGGAAGAGGGAGGGGGTGATTTTTTTCTGATTTCCCCCTCATTGCTGCAGCACTCCATACTGTGGTGCATTTTGTTTGCAAGGCTTTCCTGATGCTCACAGTGTCCTCCTAAGCACAGTTCCACCCTTGTAAGTTCATTGAAGTCAGTGGGCTTAGAAGGGTGTAACAGTCACACAGGAGTTTTATGATAAGCAGTTGGGGAAGGTAGGGACAGATTTGTTCTACCGGCACCTTCTGTGGTCTTTTCCACTGGATCCAGTCCATTAAGTTGATAATGTAATGGAACCTGAACTCATGAAAAGACTTGTTTTAGCAAAACGTTCCACTGTCATGCCTCTCTTTCCTTCCAATATTCCTTCAATCTGTTCATAACTGAACAAAAGCTTTTGGGTTCAGAGTATGTTCCACAAGAATAGCTAGAATATAATTTCTTTTTAGCAAATGTAAAAACAAAAGTGAATTTTGATTACACAGAGAATAGGGTAGGGTCTGGTGCACATGACAAACTCCAGTTTCGGTATCCCATGAAATATTATTTTTTTATAGACCCAGCTGGAAATGTCAGACGAGCCAAGTCAGAAGAGATGACTTGGCCCTTCAATACTAATTAAACTAGGAATATAAACCAGGATACATGTGCCATAGCAGACAACTCACGTCAGCATCAAACCCCTGTCCTGACTCCTGTGGTTTTCCATAGGTGCCGAAAGAGTGTTGCTCCATGCCTTTGATGGCAAGCCTTCGGTGGCCATGGAAGGGGTAAAGGCTGGATATTTTTTCTCCATTCCTCCTTCCATTATAAGGAGTGAACAGGTGAGATTCAGTGGAGGGATAGTTTCATCCCAGTATATGAAGATGTTGACACATGACTTACAGCTGACCCACTGTTGACAACACAAAGGTTGATGTGCATCTTTTTTTAAAAAAAATAATATCTGACCCTGACCTGGATAGCCCAGGCAAGCCCTATCTCATCAGTTCTCAGAAGCTAAAAAAGGGCTGACCTGTTTAATGAACAAATATAAATTTTGTTAAAAGAGGAGGTGAGTCAACTGAAAATTCTTCAATCTGTTGGCAGCCCAGCTTTTTCAGCTTTTGCTTAATCTGGTCAGAGAATATCTGCATTAATTACTTTCTTTGGTTTTCTTTAAGAAGCAGAAGCTTGTGAAGCAGCTTCCTCTAGAAAGCATTTGCTTAGAAACAGACTCTCCTGCGCTGGGTCCTGAGAAGCAGGTAAAGAGCTATCTGTCAGTACTTTCTTACCAAGATCAGCAATAATGAATCATTTTAATAGGCAGTGGCAAGACAGATCATGATAACCACCAGCAGCCTGATGCACTTAGGTGAAAAGATGGGAGATGTGCAGGCTACACACACCGTCAGGTCAGTTGAGTCCTGCTTCTAAACTAGGTAGAATGTGATCTCCAGGTATGATGCAATCATGCCGTCATAATCTGTATGGGGTCTCAAACTGTGTTAGCATAGGTTCAGTTCACACCACATTGGCTCTGTAAGGTGCAACACACTTCATGAGTCATCCTCAGAATGGAGAAGCAGCAAGCTGAGATGGTGATGCAGACAACCTTCCTTAAAGCCAGTTTCCCAAAGTGCCTCTAGGTAGAAGAGTGAAAGAGAGAAGGACTAGAAACCTGGTGAGTCACATGGATTATGTTCTTATGATTGGCTGCCCAGTCCTTTTAACAGCACAACAAAAGTGGCTGAAATGATTTGTGGGCAAACAGCTTCAATAACAGAGGTGGAGGAAGGGGGACCCTGAAGAGCCCTTGGCTGTGGAGGCAGAGGGCTCTGTAGAGTAGGAGGTAGATTTAGTACCTAAGAAGAAAGAAGGGGGAAGCCTGTTGAGATTCACAGTGCAATTCTAAACAGAGTTGTACCTTTCTAAAGCCATTGACTTTTGTGAATTTACATGAGTGAAATTCTGTTTAGGATTGAAAGACTGAGAGCATCTACTTTAAAAGGTGCAGATGGATCAGAAGAAGAGCCTTGCTCGTTCAGACAGCTTGTCCATCTAGTCCAGCAACCTGTTTCATGGCGTGGCCAGTGAACATTGTTATGTTTTGTTTTAAATATTTATATATTTTTATGTTTTAGACATTGTTTTGGTTGTTAGCCTCTTTAGGGATACTAAGTTGGGTGTAAAGGGGGCATACAAATGTTTTAACTACCTACAAATAAAATAGAGCATAAAGGTCTCCTAGCACTGGTATTCAGAGGTTTGCTGCCTCTGTATATGGAGGTTCTGTTTTGTCGCTATGGCATAAGAAAAGAAGGCTGCAAGCAATAAGACCTAAAGCATGACACAATTGGAACCAATCAATTGGCAATTAAGTCCAAAGAGAAGTGCAGCCAACAATAGGTGTTGTGAAACTCATCCTCCTACATTTATATTTCAGGTGAGAAATGAACCAAAGAATATTTTCATTGCTGCGGAATACATTGCTAAAATTAAAGGAATTTCACTGGAAGAAGTTATAGATGTGACAACACAGAACGCCCTGAAACTCTTCCCCAGACTGAAAATATTTCTTCAGAAATAGTTGATGTGTTACAGTGCTGCTATCAAAAACAGACAATATTCTGGTGCAATGACTCTGATGTAGATCAGTTATAACTTCACATGTTATCTAGTTTCAACTAATGATCAGCCTGTCTTGGTTAACAGCTTAGCCAAATACAGAATTATTTTAATCCTTTCGGTTTAGTCTGGCATTATTTAGCTTTTCCTAAATAAGAGGGCCTGTGAGGTAAGTCGGGGAAAGAGCCATCCTAGGAACTCTGGGACTGAATGGGGATTTGAACTCGGGTATTCCATGTTGAGGGGCCGTGGTAGCAGTTTGAGACCCTAGTGCTGTGTGATGGAGTGAGCTCCTGTCTCTGGGCCCAGCTCCTGCCAACCTAGCAGTTTGAAAGCAAGAAATTGTGAGTAGATAAATAGGTACCACTTTGGTGGGAAGGTAACAGCATTCCATGCACCTCAGCGTTTAGTCATGATGGCCACATGATCACGCAGAAGTCTTCGGACAGTGCTGGCTCTTCGGCTTGTAAATGGAGATGAGCACCGCCCCTAGAGTTAGATACGACCGGCTTTTGAGCAAGGGAAACTTTTACCTTATTCCATGTTTAACCTCAGCTTTCTCACTTCTGTTTCATACTGGCTTTGTGATCCTGCAAGCAAGTTGAAACAAAAGATTTGGGCTGTAACTTGGGAAGCCCTTCAGGAGGCTAGCCCTGTTGGTCTGCAAGAGAAGATATAGGTTGGAGTCCAGTAGCACCCTAGAGACCAGTGAGATTTTGGGGGTACAAGCTTTTAAGACAAAGGGAGTTTTGATTCTCCAAACCTGTACCCCAGAAATCGTGTTGGTCTCTTTGGTGCTAGTAGACTCAGATTTGACTCTCAAAAGCTTATACCCTAAAAATGTTGTTAATCTCTAAGGTACTACTGGACTTGAACCTTGGGAAACCTTGACACATTTAACATCTAATTGACTTGAGCATCAAAATTCCCAAAGGATTCAGAGTATATGGATTGTTCTGCTGTGGCCAAATCTCAGTTTACTGCTTTACACATCTTTCCTATACTGGTGTACATGGGTGCATAGACTCAGATTTGACTCTCAAAAGCTTATACCCTAAAAATGTTGTTAATCTCTAAGGTACTACTGGACTTGAACCTTGGGAAACCTTGGCACATTTAACATCTAATTGACTTGAGCATCAAAATTCCCAAAGGATTCAGAGTATATGGATTGTTCTGCTGTGGCCAAATCTCAGTTTGCTAAGGCTGCTTTACACATTTTTCCTATACTGGTGTACATGGGTGCAGGGGGAAATACACCACTGTATACAAGGATAACACATGTGACTGTCAACTTGTATATGCATATTTGGAAGCTGTGATGGGCAGTGGTTTCCCCATGTGAGTATACGTACCATAGTGAAAACATTTAAACATGACATGGATGTACTCTTTTTCCTTATATATACATGTATAGGAGAAACACATTAAGTAGCACTCCCTAATTCTCAATCTCATTCCTTCTCGGTAAAATGAAAACAATGATAGCAACATAATTGTGGTAAGAATATTAATGATTATAGGATTCTGATAAGAATGAATGTGTGGAGAATTATAAAGTGTTTTGTGGAGTGTAAAGGAAGCATGGCAGATACTATGTTAGCAAATGTCACTCTTATTAACTGGATGCTTTGGCAACACAAAAGAATTAAATGGCATTTTTAAAAATCAACCAACTTTATTCCATAAGACCATTTGTTAGTCAGATGAACACATGAAGCTGCCTTATATTGAATCTGACCATGAATCCTTCAAGGTCAGTATTGTCTACTTAGACTGGCAGCAGCTTTCCAAGGTCTTAGGCAGAGGTCTTTCACATCACCTACTTCCTGGTCTCCTCCTCTGTGCTTTACTGAAGAGATACTAGAGATTGAACCAGGGAACTTTTTCATGCCAAGCAGATGCTTTAGCACTGAGCCACAGCCCCTCCCTAGAGAGACTAGTGCTCATTTTATCAGATGCATAAGGCGTGGGAAATTGTTTTAGAGGGGGGGGTTTGTTGCCAAAATCACAAGGGTTCAGGGAACAGTTTTCTTTACAGAGTTATTGTAAGACTTGGGATATTCCTGCTTTTTCCTTAAGGTATAGAGAACTGTTGTTGGTTATCCACTTGATGCAGTGGGAGGGAGGCCCACCACATACACTGTTGTTTTATAATTGTATTGTTGTGGTTTTATCTAACTTTGTATTTTAGTGTTCTGAAATGTTTTATGTAAGCCGCCCTGAGCCTGCCTTGGCAGGGAGGGTGGGATACAAATCAAATAAATAAATAAATAGGAATCTTGTAGGCCTTTAAGGACAAAGATAGCTTTCATGGGCTAGAGAACACCTTCATTGGATGTATGAAATGGATTCTCAGTTACCAGAAACAGATATGGAGCAGAGGGAAAATGGGTGAGACTTACTTTTTAAAATGAAAGCCTGGATTTTAGAGGAGCTAGTAGATTGTGGCAATAGATCACAATAAGCTGATTTTTGTTTGGTAGAGCAGGTAATTATGTTGTACAAACACAGCAATGAACAGGATCTCTGGCAGCACTTTTAGTTTTAATTGGGGGGGGGGTTGTTTTGCATTTACTTTTGTGGGTAAGCTCCGGTGTGTGAGGGATTTTCTGATATTTATTTGGAGTCCAGAAGTTGGCTTATATCATCATTGGACTAATAACAAAATTCTTGCCGGGTAATCACAATTGTTTGGACTAGAGTGGTGTCATTGTGCGAAGCAAATTCCATAGATAACTGGTCTCCTCATGACAATGCTGCAGTCAAGAAACAAGGAAAGGCAGAAGCAGAAAGGAATACATTCTTTGAATGAATCACTAGCAACCTGGAGCTAAGCAGACATCGTTGCTGGCCAGGAGAGGGAAAGCAGAGCAGAGTCAGAGAGTTTTGTGTTCTAGCAAGTGACATCCCTAGCTTCCCTTGATCTCAGCCGCCGCCAGGGGTTCAACGCAGCAAGGCAGCTGTCTCTGCCCACTTCCCTTCTCTCCTGTGAGGTGAGCAAAAAGAGGGTATGTGTGTGTGTGGGGGGGGGGTTGGTTATTTGTTTCATTGTGAAGCTAGGCCCTCCTCCTCAGTTCTATTAATAAAACAAGCTAAAGCAGAGAACAGTTTGAAACACAGATTGTAGTCAGACGTCTGTAAGTCATCTGTCATAAAACCTGGTCACATAGTTTTTTAAAAATCAAAGGAAAGATTAATGAAAATCTAAAAGACTCTATTTGTAGGCTTTTGAAGAGACCTCCACAGCATGCCTCTGAGGGCAAGACTTTGCTTCAAAGAGAACAGTCATGTTCTGAATAGGAAGCCTGGATTACAATCAAGGAAATTTACAATGTATTTATAAACAAAGCCACACCCTTCTAAGAGCATTGAAATAAGTGGGCATAGAAGGCTAACTATGTTTAGGACTGTACTGTCTAAAACCTAAGACTTACTACCTGTCAGGCCACAAATCCATCAGTATAACATCAGCTAACCAGATCTCTTTAAAAGTTTCAAACAAGATTTCTGCCTGTATAAGCCTTCCACAGGATTTGAGGTCAGCCGGTAAGTGCCCTGCTGTGAAAGCCTACATGGCCAGAGATTAGGCATTCATGATAGGGGGGAATTTCACGTTATCCAGTTTCACCCGGTTTCAAGCCGGCAATCATCCGTTTTGAAGTGAACCGGTACAGGGCTGCCATTTCACACAGGGCTTGCCCCTACCGGAAATGAGCCGGATCAGAAGCGGTTTGGCATTTCAGACTTGCACCGCTTTGTTTTCCCGCCGTTTTCCTCCTGTGCGGGTGATCGGTTTTTTTAAAAAAAGTTCGATTATAGCGCTATAGCAGTATAACAAAACACTCCATGCATTCCAATGGGATTTATATAATGCTATTCTGTTATACCGTTATAGTGTTATAGCGCTATAACGCTATAAATCGAACGTTCCCCCCCAAAAAACAGCCGGAGATCGCCCGCGCGGGCGAAAAAAGGCGGGGGGGGAAGCGTATCAGAACCGGGAGAGGGCACTGGAGACCACTTGGAAGTGGATGACAGGTAAAACGCTTCAGTCCCGGTTCCTAAACGGGACTGAAGCGTTTGTGTATGAAATGGCAAATAGATTCCGGAAGGGAACGGGTTCTGTCTGAAATGACAGACCAGAACCCGTTTGAGAACCGGTTCCCTTCCGGAATCTATCGCCTGTCTGAAATTCCCCAGGGTCTTTTCATCCCCTCAGTAATGGAACTCCCTGACCACCAGAAGTGTGGCTGTGTTTTTCTGGCACAATTTAAAAGCCCACCATTTCTGGAGGACCTTTGATACTGGCTGATATTTGGTATGCGGGAGAGGCCATGGCTCAGTGATAGGGCAGCTACTTTACAAGCAGAAGTTCCCAGGTGCAATACCCAGTAGTTCCAGCCAAAAGGATCAGCTGGAAAGCTGCTGCCAGCCAGACAGTATTGACCTTGATAGGCCAATATATTTCAATATCCCAAGTATTTCTCCCACAACGGGGGGTGGGTACAGTATTGGTCTGACTTACTATAAGGCAGCTTCATGTGTTTATGTGTGCTTGTAGGAATAGAACAGAAGGACACAAATGGTCTAAATACAAATAAATAAATACATGTTTATGGCTGTCTCTTGTCTGTTTTAATAATGTGAGAATCTCCTCTGAATATGGAGGTTTTATTTAGCTATCATGACTATAATAGCCATTGATCAACCTTATGCTCTAAGAATCTGTCTACTTCTGCCCCACTTTCAGTGCTTGGGGGAAAAAATACACACACACACATTCATATTCCTTTACTGGTATTCAGGAAAATAATATATCTAAACCATCTCCTCTTGAAGAGGGAATCAGCTGCCCTGGGCCTTCATCCTTAACTGTGCTTTAAAATACAAATATTCTCCAGTTGTTTTTCAAATCACTCAAAGTTGCAGAGGTATATATCAAAAAATAGGAAGATGCTTTGATATGTCAAACGGCTGCCTGTTAAAACAGAGTCAAGCAAGACTGGGCTGGGAAGCCACTACCAGTTAAGGCAGAAAAAGAAATAGTCTCTTTATTAGTCTAACCTAAATGTCTCAAAGTTCCACCGCTGTAATTACTAGAATAAATTAGGAAGAATTTAGGAATTTTAGTAAATCTGTTTCACCTCATGGGGAATATCTAATCATGAGGCAGACTCTATTTATCTTCAGCACTGTAAGAATGTCTACTAATAAGTGATCTTGTTTGCAGTGCTTGAGAATTACTTATACCAATGTGACAAATG